AGTGGTATATAATCAGCTAAAAGAGCACCACTTTTTCAAGATTTTAGCTCCAAACTGATTGCATATCAATAATTATCAACCACATAGTTATCTGTCTCTACCATGCCATTTCACAGATTGGAAAACTGAGTCCCAGAAAGATGAAGTTACACACTTAACTAACTTCTTATTAGCATCTGCTGTGTTTCCCACCACGTTTCACTCACACAATATTCCTGCTGTCTGGTTCTCCCTAGAAAAGCCAGGTACACCCTCAGGGAAGGAGCAGGGGTCAGGACTTGGGTCCTCTTTCTAACTTCTCAGTTGCTCAACTTGCATTCCTTTCCAACTTGGGATTTTGCAGTTGAAGGTAGTGTTCCTTCCATGCCCAGTCCTGCCTTAGAGACCCCACATGTGCCAGTTCATAGGTACAGTAATCCTTCAGCCCTGATGGAGTTTTCGAGTCATTTCAGCTTCCAGATTCCATCTCATTGAGAGCCAAGGGAAGACTTGACTTAGCTGTTTCAGCTTTGCATTTCCTTGTCTCTCAGGCTGTGTGATAGACATTCAATAAATGTTTGCTGATGGTCTTCGATTCACCAGGCCACACTTGGTAACTTAGATTCTAGAATGATGTTCTGTCTCAGAAATGCAATGCCCCCCAGGTTGTTTTGCCTTGGGAGTCTTCATATCTGTCTTTTTATTAGGTAGATTTTATTGTATATGTTATGCATCTCGTAAAAAAAAAAAGAAAAAGAAAAACACCCAGGTGTCTGGGATCATATAAGGAAAATTGTTCATTTTTTGAGAAAGGCTTCTTTCTAACTGCCAGGAACCAGCCTCTATATCAGATGTGTAGACTCATCAGTTAGGGTCATTTGCTCTGCAGGGAGCTGAAGAGAATGTGTACAACCTGCTCAGAAGAGAATCCATCCCTTCACTATGCAGAATGCCTCTAGCAGGGCTCTCCAGGCCTACAGGCTGCCTATCTATGTCCTAATGGGCTGATGGGGAAAGTGACATTTGTAAATTAATCTCTGACTGGAGCTAAGTGGTTTCCCTAATGGCTTTTAATTCAGGGACTCCCATTCTTGGCCAGGCATCAGATTCACTGGTGAAGCATGTTAAGAATAGAGAAGCCCAGCTTCTTCTATCCACTGTCCAGTCCCTGACTCCTGCTTACCATCCTCAGGCTCTTAGAATGCGATGAGAGCCTTTTGGCTTTTAAGGGAAAGCCTTAAAGGGTGATTGGATTTTGGCGGTAGCCCCCTTAATGGTCCATGCTTCCAAACGCATCTCTGATAACCCCTGGAGCCTCATGTGTCAAAACCAGCAATGGAGCTTAAGTTCTAGAATAGGCAGTTTGTCTAAAAAGCACAGCTTCTTGATTCTCTCACATCCCTGAGTCTTCCCTTTTCATTCTGAACCTGAGCGGCATGGCTTTACTGTGTTGCATGTTAATGAATGTCCTCCGACATTTGGAAGGTCTTTGTGGTCCCATCGCAATGTCTACTTAGGAAGACAGCAGTGAACATCCCCCTCTATTCTCTGCCTGTCACCAGACTCCTCAAGTTAAGTGTTAGGAACAGACTTAAGAACACTGTGTATGTGTGTTCCTTGGCATTCTTCTGTATAAATACATGTTGTGTTTGATCTTGGAGTTTTGAAAATAGATGACGCATGAGGGCCATTGTTCCGATTACATTTATCAAATTGCTTTTGTTTTTAGGAATCTGGCACTCTGCACATACCACCAGCACTCAGCATCACCACACAGCATATGAATGTTTTCAGTAAATTTGAGAGTATCCTGCCAGGTAGCCAAGGTGATTTGGTAAGCTCAGACTGGTAGAGAAAGCTGGATGGGCTTCAGGGAAGAAGGCAAACAGTAGCATTCTAAGAGGCAGTTCTCCAGTTGTCTTGGGCACCGGATTGCTTTCCGCCTTGGTGTCCAGGGAGCAGTGCCTTGTCAAGGGAGTGGTCATTGTCAGAAGCCCGTGACCGGAAGGCAAGTGTCTTTTACTGTCTCAGGTCTTGTTCTTTTCTTGGCTTCCTCTTACCAAATCCTTTGGGCTTCAGTCTCTCTTGCCATAGGACTACAGCAAACACCCAAGGACCCCAGAGGCCATGCTCCTTATTGAGAGGCAGTTGCATGCGAATGGGCAGGACATTTTGAGGGTGCTGAGGACACTGCAATAAGAGCCCCTTTTTTTGCTGCACCTTCCTAACTTCTCTTTTTTGGCTAAAGATTCACCAATCAATAGCTTATTATATTTTGTTGATACCTATGCTTAATAGCATAGGCTCAAGCTGTGTAAGCATTATTTCAGAAAAAAATGGTATCTTTGTGAATCCAAAGGGACAGCTATCTTCTGGTTTTCTTGGGCCTTATGCATATCATATGTTAAATAAGTGTTTGGATGACTGTTTAGGAATGTCCTATAATAAAGGCATTGTAAGCATTACTATTTAGTTTGAAATCTAGTTCTTCTGTGTTCTCAGACTAATATTTTTTCCCATTTTGAGTACAGTTATCAGAGCATTAGGGATTTGTTAGAGAAGGAAAATGAATCAGCCAGTCCTTCTGGGTGGATCTGCTGTGGCTCTGTTGAGGACACACCTCTGTTGTGTTTTGTCTTCATGGCTAACTCCAAAGAGCTGCTGTGTTTTCACCCTGGGCCCAGGATGACTGTAGTTAAGCCTGAACTGACTGAGAGGCAGTTGGCAAGTGTAAGCAATGCCCTGCCCTTTGTAGGAAACCGAGCATCTCACTTGGGCATGGGGACCCTTCAGTGTCTCCTGAGATTTTTCTGTTTCTGACAGATGCTGATGTATGAGTCTCCTCTTACGATCATGGCAGGACCCCTTTCCTTCTCTTGTGTTTTGCGTAGTTACTTCAAGAAACCACTACTCCCCATCATGCATGTCAAGAACACATATTGGGGCTGCATCAATGATGGTCACTGTGTCTGGCCATCCTCATGCTAGGAGGTTATGGCCATGGCAGGAGAGCTCATATTTTAATCTCCTTGTAGATGGAGGTAGCTGCCGTTTGTGAGGCCTCTTTCCTCCCTCACAGCTGTAGCGTTTAACGGCAGCCTGTCTAGCCAGCTGGGAGAGAAGCTCAGCCTTCAGACACACAGGGAGTCCCATTGACAGGGATTAGTTTTGGATCAGCTGTTTATGAATGAAGAGAGGCCCTTCCCCTCAGCGCAGGCCACACCCCTGCTCTTTGCAGCTTTTTTGAGAACGAGGTCAGGACCAGCATCTAACTGCTTCTGTTTCAGAAATAGCAGCATGGCTTGAAAATTAATCTTAACCTATTTGTTATGCTGCCTCCTTCAGAAAATACAGGAAAATATCAGAGACCTGCTTAGGTTGTTTCTGTGTTTTTGTGTAAACCTTTGCAAAGAATATATGAATGAGTGGATGTGAAGCTAGACAGGGGGTGAGCCAGCTGAGAGGGATTAGTATTGGTTAGAGGGTAATTACTGACAGGCTGCTGGGTTTCCTGGCATGTACCAGACCAGGTTTTGGTTTTTAAGACAAACTAGAAAAATAAAGTCATCCTCAGGGATACATTATTTTAAAAACTCCCTTTCATAATATTTTAATAGTTGCTGTCAAGTGGCAATATGCCCAGTTGATTTCATGGTCATTTTCTGTCTTCTGTCACCTACAATTTCTCCTCAGCAGCTCCGTAAGAGATGTGCAGTGTTTTAATGAGTATCTCATACAGATTTTATTTTCTGTCAGTCACTTTGGCAAAAATGAATCAGAGAGAGAGAGAGCTTATTCATGTTGATACATGGATAGTCCACAGCCAGTACCACAGTGTGGGTCTGTGGATGCTCTGAGGAGGGAAGTGCTTGCAGTGCCCTTCTGGCTAGGTCTTCTTTGGGTATTGGCACATCAAAAAGCCGTTTGTGAGCACTGATAAGGCATTGTCATATGCTAATGGTGTTTGATTTTTTTTTCTTTTTCTCACATTTACTTAGTCATTGGCCATTAGGTTCTTTCTCTATTTGTTTTTGACCATAATGTCTTTTCACTCATCTGCTCCATCAGAGGTGAAATGAATTAGAATGTTGAGGACCTGCTGGTCAGGATGGGCTTCATGTGCTACATGTTTGTCGGATGGACTTCAGTGTGACAGGTATCCACTGAAGTAGGTGCCAGTGTTCTGTTTTATACTCGGGGCAGTTAATTCTGAGTGAAGAGTGTGAAGAGGAATGTGACTTGTCACAGAACTTGCCTCATGTGTTATCCAGTTTGGCATCCTGCAACTGAAGTAGTTTCCTGAATGCGTGAGAAGTATAATAGCCGTATGTCTCTAAATCACATCTATATTTGTTTCTATGTATACAAACACAGGGGAGTTTTCATGACAGCACACTGCTGCTTTCCAAACTAATATTTCTTGTGTAGAGAAAGGAAATAGGTGGTGATTTGGGGTAGGGGATGGGAATTAATGGGCATGAGGGATCTTGAGGAGATGACAAAAACATATTTTGAAACTGGATTACAGTGATACCTGCAAAACTGGGCAGATTTACGAAAAGATGTTGATTCATTGCATGAATCAGATGAAGTTTATGGTATTTAAGTTGTACCTTAATAAAAGTGGTTACCTTTGCATCTGAGTCTTTTGGGATCCTAAGGTGACATATAATATGAGACATGGTATCCTTCCTAATTGCTAACTTCTCTATTCCCACTCAAGTGTATTGATTTCAGTTATAGAAAAAAAAAAAACTAGACTTTTAGCTATTAGGGTGGTATAAAAACACCATGCCATAAGCTAGAATGGTCTGCCCTGACCCCCATTGGCAAGAGTAGGGCTACTGCCTGTGCCAGGTAAGGAGTCAACATTAAGGAGACTTAGTGGAGGCAGCATGGGTGTGAGATTTCCCAACTAGCCTCAGGAAGCATGTGGGATAGGGTCTGAGAGCTGCTGCTTGTGAATGCCAAACATCCCTCTGTTCACCCTTCAGTGATGACGTTTTTCTCTTCTTTTACAGGTTGTCTTAGTCTTTGCTCTCAGCATTGGTGCACTTGTAATATACTTCATAGATTCATCCAAGTGAGTATTCAGATATTTTGTCCTTTGCTAAAATGATCATGAGCCCTGAAATCAAACGTTTTGTTGACCTTGACACCAACCTTGGTGACAGCCTCCTGAGTGTGAGGCAAGGCTGTTCCATGCTGGCTTTCTGAATGGAAAAGAGAGCTCCTCAAAAGTAGGGCTGCCCATGTCCTGCTGGTATGGGAGGGAAGACGTCTAAACTCAAGTCTTCTTGATGGGTGTTATTTTAGTATTTCCTGATGTAGCATTTCCACTGATGATGTCAAGGAGTTCATAGCACTATGGTGGGAATCCACAATCTGCAGGCAAATGACATTGTTAATGAGTGGGGGATTGAGCCGTTCTTGCTATGACTGTACCATTCTTACCTCCTTTGGGTTTCCCTTGTTTTGGTCTAAGTAGGGGACAGCTTAGCAGGCATGATGCTGCCTCTTACCCCCACCTGAAGAGTCAGTGGACGCGTCACACACTGCTGCTTCTTGACTGATGAAATATATGGATGTGGGATGATAGCTTTTGTGGTGACCCCCAGAAGTGCAGGCCCATGTGTGTGTCAACATCCTTAGAATAGACGTGAACCACAGATCCCTGGGGTGCCAGCTGAGTGTGATCTAGGGTGAACTTGAGTGACAGACACTAAATACCTTGCAAGTGGTCACACCAAGAAAAGGGCACAGCAAGGCTTCAAGGAGGCATACAGGCATGTCCTGATTCCTGCTGGTACATTCTCTGTTTCAGTCTTAAAGTCAGTGGCTTTGGGGAAATGTTTGGAGCTTACTTTTTCTCTTACGACTTGAATTTGGCAACTCTGGTTAAGGAAAGTGGCTTAAGTTCATTGCCCACTGTGAGAATGTTTTTAGCTTGTTCAGTGCTATCTCTGCCAAGGTAGATTCTAGACTTTAATCCTAGGAACCCTCCTGTCATCCCTGTTGGCTCAGACCTCTGTGTGTCTGAATTCTGAGATTTCTCTTTGGTGGCTCGGCTGTTGGCAATTTCATGGATATCTCAACTCTGAATTTCTCAGAGCCATCTGGTCAACAGCCAAAGGATATTCTGCATTTGGATGCATAAGCCAAAATGTCAAGCCAGGAAAATAAAGAAAAGGCCTCTTGTCACTTATCTCTGGGAGCCAGCCAATACTGGGTGAAGAGAGGTCCTTCAGCCCAGTGCCAGGCTGGACAGCCCTTGCCCATTTTGGATGCAGGGTTTCTAAACATCTTTGGGAAATGAGATTTCTCACCCTCCCTCTGACTGAAATCCCTGGTCAAAGAGCTTATTTAGGTATGGAAGACCCCAATTTGTGTGTCCTCAAAGGTAAGTTGCCTTTAAATATTTACTCTTGATTATTCTGCTCCATCTTCGAGTTCAATGAGAGACCCTCCAAGGTCCTTGATCTTCTTTCCCCATTTCTCTTCAGAGGGATTCTCACATGTTGTGGGTTATGCTCCTTGTAAACTTCCGTGTTGGGGCTCAGGATGGAGGCTCAGGCATGTATGTTTGTGTGTCCGAGATACAAGCTCCTGTATGAAGGTGAGCAAAGAGATCGGTTAGAAGGACAGATACTTTGGAGACATCTTCCCTACCTTATTCTCCCTTTTTGTTCCTCTGTACTACTCATAAATAAACTGCTCTTCCTGGATGGGATTGAATGTTGTCTTTTTTTATGGTGTCTGTTGTGAGGGCAATCCTTTGTGCCGTAGATCCTGGTGCTTTCACCTGCACGGGAGAAGACAGTATACCTCCTTCTTGGTGTCCTTTGGGTTTCATTCTCGTTTTGCATTAGCGTTGGGGAAGCCAGTGTTGAGAGTCCTCTGTGATTCTGATGTGTGGAATGGATTTGCAGAGAGTCCAGACTGAGGGTAGACCTTGAGTCCTATTCTCTGAAATAAGACTGTCCCCACCATCCTTGGGGCTGTCACCCAGCTGCATAGTTTAGCATAGCAAAACCCACTGTGTTTAAGAAGATCTTATGGCTGTTGGTATAACCCTTTCCACTTTTTTCTCTGCCACCGGGCCCTGAAGTAGCCTCCTATAATACTATCAGGGGGCCCACTCAACAGAGTTAGCATGAAGGAACATTGCATCTTCCTGGGAAAGCCAGCAAACATGCCCACTCTCTCTCAGGAAATTAAAGAGTTAAAGTAGAAACTCTAAAGTCACCTTTGTATAAATTCTACAGATTCCCAGAGGGAAAAAAATAATAAAAGGAAACCTATTGTGCAAATGATAGTCAAGCTTAGTGAATAAGATCAGGTTAATCCACATAGAATATGCCCAATGGAAAGAGAAAAAGAAGAATGTAAAGTGTCTTTAAAATGTTACTAAAATATTTATATAAGAATGTAAATTGTTAAGGCCCTCTTTTTCATTCAGATCCATTAACAGCTTTATGCAGTTGTGGTTTGGTTGACTATCTTGGCGATACAGCTTTAACTTCTCTTGGAAGTTCTGTTGAATCATCATCCTGGGAAAAGTCCCCAGGATTTTACTGAGAAATATTTCTTAGCATTGACACCTTTCAAATAAATATGTAAGGAGTGAACTGAACTGGGCAGACCCTGTCTACGTAATGACTTAGTGAATTTGAATCAGAGCTGCTTCCTCCAACTAGTAAGGGATATCCCAGTGAAATTCAAGGCCCTCAGCTCTTTGGAGAGATGAGGAAAGCCACTTAAGATACAAAGCCAGCTCTGGTGACAAGGAATGATGATGAGCTGCTTGGCCAGCAGAGTCTTAGCACAGGATAGCCTTGGCTGTGCCGGTAGACAAGCAGTCTGGGGCATTTTTTCTGCTTCCATCCATCAGCCTGGGAACAAGGCAGTTCAAAGAACAGCTATTTATTTTTCTGAGTATTTGAACCTTTCAAAACTGATTTTAATAGCAAGAAGTGGTAGATAGTCTTTTCTGAAGACACCTACCTGTGTACCTCTGTTCTTTTCCATTCTTAGACTGAGACAGATTCCTGAGTGGGTCTTGTTGATTCAAGAAGCCCTTTTTGGGGGTTTTCATTCTTCTGGAGTGATGGTTATGAAAGGATCATTTGTGTAGCCTCAGTGATCACTGTGTAGATGAGACAGATTGTCCTTGGGGCTCTTGGATTGGAAGGAAATCCGAAGAGAATTACATTAGACTGTGTTAAAATTGTGCTTTCTCACCCCAACAGCCGACACTCCAGAAATGTGTAAGCAGAGGGAGTTGGTCTCCCACATCTTTGATAGACATAAATGTCAGTGCTTAGCAATGAAGCAGTAAGCCTGTCACACGTCCCCCCACCCGATCTCCTCCAATTAGCCATAGTGTATTGGATATCATCCATAGAAACACTTTTTCTTCTTAAAAGGTTTCTTGGCTCAATATGTGCTCCACAGTACTCCAGCTTCTAATTCTGACATCTTCTGATGCCTGTACCAACTCCTTCTCCTACACACTCTGATTCCTACATTGTAGAGACTTAAAAAAAAATTGTACAACCAAGCCTAAAGTATTCACAGATGCCCCAGGATGCTAATGTCATCATCAGTGTTCCATTCATGTCAGCTTCCTTCTTTTGACATGAGAACAGTAATTCTTATCTAGTATATAAGGAAAATAAAAAAGACCTCACGGTGACGGAGTGAGGAGGGTGGGGAGCATGGATGGCATAGTGCAGCAGCAGTCTGCATTGCTTCCAGAATGCCTAGAATAAGTTGGAAGAGAATGGGCTCAGAGCCCAGGGTGTTTGCATTTTTTTTTCTTTTCTAGGAGCATTCTGGGAAGGGATGACTCACACATGTGGAGATACGTATTCCCTAACTCATGGTTAAATGCTCTTCCTTCTTATGCTACCACTATGTGGATTTTGAATATTTAATGCCACCTATACTGAAAATGAAGGTCAAGTCCTGCTCACTGGCAGCTTCCAAGCAGGCATTTGTCTCTGAAAGGCAAGCTGCCCGCTGCTAGCAGAGTCAACTTGAAAGGTTATACATTGTTGAGGTTTTCCTTAATGACCTTATCTGTTCCAAACTGGCTGGCACGTGGTGGGGCACCTGCTGATTTTGCCAGTCTTTGCTCTCAGCTTCCGGAGTCAGCACTCTTGTTGTGGGAGTATGGCCCTTAAGCAGGAGGAGGGAATGGCAGTACTAATTTTGTAGAGCATCTAATCCAAGGGCTTGATTGCTAGGTAATAGTAGAATTACAGTTAGAACAAAGCCTGTCTCCAATCTTTTGTGATTTTGCTTTTGTTTTCATTCATTCTCTTTGTAGTCATCCTTCATTCATTTGAAACATCTTCAGTGTCATCACATTGAATGCTTCCCAGAGGGTAAAATTGCTTTGTGATTAGGTGTTTGGTTAAGGAAAACTATCTTCAAGGTTGCCATAGAGGTTAACCAGATTGTTTTCATAGTCTCTGGAAAAAAAAAGCACTGTTGTTGTAATAGAGAGACCCAGAGCTTAAGCAGAGCTGGTTACAGTTGCCCAACCATTTCACTCACCGCATTCTGCACACATTCTGGTTCTCCTACCTCGGCTTAGGTGTCAAGATGTGAACTTCCAGATTGTGGAAGCAGCTCCAGAGATTTAATGACATGTTACAAGAATGGAAGTTGGCTTCAACTCATCCTGCCAGCTCATCTGTGCTGGATTTCCTTTCCCTCTCTATTCTCATTTCCTACCTTGGGATCCAAGTCTCTGCAGGTGACCCTGATTAGAGGGACCTGTCACTGGCTTTCCCCATAAGCCTCTGCCCTCCCTCAGGTGCTGTCCACTGTCTGTCAGTGTGGATCTTGACTCATTTCTTCATTTAATTACTTCCTGTGATTCCCTTTATTTCAATGGAGTAGCAGCATTTTGGGATGTGATTGTGTCAAGTTAGCAAAGAACAAGGAAATTTTTTTTTTAATTTTAATTTTCTCAAACAGATCCTTCGGAGTTAAAAGGCTCTGTGACCTCCCTGCTCTTTTCCTGGTTCTCTGTGTCTGTTACTTGGCACACTAAACTTGAGATACTCCATTTCC